TTGATAGTGTTTTTTTTAATTTTGATAAGTTTCTCATCCACTTGCAACCATGGTTGACCGAGTACTGGCCATTAAAATATTATATAAAGAAACCCCCACCTTTTCTCTAGTTGATATAGTTTTGGTCGAATAGTTACTTTCATTCATTATGTATGAGCGAGTTCACTGTCCATTTAATTAAATCTTGGACAGTGGGCAGTTCAGCTATCATAGACCATATTTATTTAGTCAGAGTGTCTAATTAAAGAAAATGTGATAGTCTATAATGTGAATTTTTATTTAAGTTTTAATCTGGGTTTGCTTTTTGACTCGGACTGTATATAATGTAGGATGAATACGAGCCTATATTACAGTATATAACATCAATATCTATGTACGCCATCTTGAATATGACTCATCAACAAACACATTATGTGTGTATGTTTTATCCCCCTCCCTATATTACTCTCCATCCCCCTCTTACCTACCTCTTCCCATTTCTCTACACCCATCTCCCTTTCCTTCTCTTTCACTAAATACTTCTACGTCGCTTATAATGCTCTTGTAATCAGCTACAGAACTCTAGTTGCTATCTTTCTGGGGTTTTGTCTAAATGTTTTTTGTTTCGCCAACTAATTCGACACCCAATTTTTCCCTGGCCACAATTCGGCCACGAGTCGTCAGCGCCATAGCTTTGGCAGCCGGGCTTCATCCTTCCAATTCCATACAACATAAATCGGTGAAACCTAGCTTGGGTGAATGTCGTTTCGAGGCAGAGGCATCTAGCCTGACATCATTCGACTTGTGTCTCTTCGCGCTACGTTTCCCACTTTCTCTGCATTCTGACATTGCCTGAGACCCTCCCCGAACTATGACCAATCTCTGCGTCATACATTTACCAATTTCGACGTGTATACTTTAATCCGGCGTAGCCCCATTTTTTCCAACCAACCAACCTATTCATGTACAAAACATTTTCGTCTAATTTAGCGATATCCAATTCAATCGGTATGACCTTGTCCTTCGAGGAAAAACTGGTTTCAAATATCATATTTTTTTCCTTGACAACGATGAAAATATATGTAGCGTGTAGGAATCTTTCAAACTTTTTTTCTCATGCAAGGTACCATTGCGAAGAAGTGTAGTGGATGTATTTCCGTGTGCTAAGGTTGTTTGATGTACACTCGTCGGTTGTTCGTGTGTTGTATACACATTTTGCATTATCGTCCCAGCATGTTTTCCTGCATGGGGCGGCGACTCAATGCCAAGGCCATCGCAGCGGGCCGGGAGAGGACGGGGCTGGAGAGCTGCATCGCTCTTCTCGTACACGCAGACCAACCGCTGACTCGTCTCGCAACGGACGTTCGAGCCGAGCGCTACACGCTGTTGCGCAGTATTAGAATCTACCGTGCAATGATTAGCAAAATCGGAGCGGGGCACCTGGAGTGATTTTAACAAGACGGGGCAACTAGATACGAAAGGGAGAGAGGGAAAGAGAAAGAGAGAGAGAAAGAGAGAGAGTAAAGAATGGAAGAGAGAGAGAGAGAGAGAGAGAGGGGGGAGAGAGAGAAGGGAACGTTGATTGCAAATAGCAGCTTGAAAGTTCAAGTTCAGTATCATTAAGAAGATGGGAGATCTGACGGCAGGAAATTATTCGGAATAAACAGCAGCGTGGTTCTCTTGTGTTAAAGGATCCGTAGATCCTATATCCAGTCATACACATGCAGATGACCATTAATCGCCAGAATAGGAATTCCAAGACTTCCGAGTTGTTGTCCTCTGTGCTTGAGAGAACATGTATTAGCTCAGTCCATAGAATACACAACACACTACTCATATTTAACTTCGATTTAAGTTTCTTTTTTTAGCAATCTTTAATAGAACGTAGCAAAAAACTTGTCATGGACTTCGAGAGACAGACTTGGTCTACATAATACAAAGCATTATCATCACAGGCCCAAACTTAATCCGATTTCATGTTTCAAAACGGTTCCAATAACACTTCTTATATTAGTGATATTTCTATGGTATGAAATACAATTCTTAAATACTTATCATGTTTATGTTCTTTTGCTCTGTTTGTTTCTCTTGTTTTCGATTAGTGCCTCACTGGTATACAACATAATTCGAAATTGATTTCCCAACAGTGATTTAGACATTCTTAAAGAGGAAACACCAAATTGGAATACATGCAGATCGTATTGGTTCTACATTATATTTCAAGAAGATTCCCTTGAAACCCGGGTAATAGCTTGATGGTCATTCAGGAGCTTCTTGCAGATGACCTTTATCCTTGGAAAGTGTTTCTGGTTCAAGTTGAATGGGTGGTCGAAGATTCGGTTAAGAAACTTGGTAGGTGTCGATGAGAAAACCAGATCAACGTCTCCTTGTATCTCATTAGGTTTCAATCGAAAGATCACACATGCATGGCAGTGTGCTATAAGAAAAAAAGAGAGGGAAAAAAAAAGGGGGGGGGGTCGGATTCCAACTTTTCCGTCCGGCCGCCCGTTTTGATTTACGAATTCAAACTAGAAAATCTATATAGGCCTTTAGAAAATAATAATGACCTAAATGATATGAGATCACGAGATTTGAACTATGGTCCCCAAATTGGGAAGATTTTCAAGGGTGTTATGCACATAGCCCATAATATCTATAAAAAAAAATGTATCGTAGAAAAAAAAAATTGAAAATAATTTGCATGACTTTGAATGATCTGTTGCCATCTCAAAGCAATTGAATAACATTATTTTGACAGCCGGTAAATATTTTGTACCTGACATGACAATGACAAAAACGAAAACAATTACAACGTAAAATATGACATTTTTTGTGCATGTCAGACTAATGAGAGCATAGTTTGAATCTTGCATGGTTGCATCCCCAAAGCTGTCCATGGTGGAACAGAGCTTACATTTTAAACACAAAAAGCACCACCCTTTAAAGAGATTGTTTGGGTAATTGTTTGTGTCCTGGAGTATAGACTAAGACAAACCTTCTTTTTTGAAGTTCAAAGGTTGTGGAGGTGAAGATGAAGTCCCTGGAAACCCTTGGAGGTAGACTGTTCTTAACCTTGACCGTTTTAAGTCTGGAAGACGTTCAAAAACACTTAAAGGACACCCCTAGAAATCATAACATCCTCTTGCACCACACACACACAGAACCCACAGTGGAAGGGTCACTCGAACATTCGCTTCTTCTTATCGAGAGGGAAAAGATTGCACCTAATCTCCAGTTGAAATATGTTTTTATCATAACTCGGGGTTCGAAGTCCGACGTACGAACCGAAATGACAGGAAAGAGACTAGCAACACAGACATGATCAAAGTTCTAATTAGATCACACTTGGACACACTTGGACAGAATTCTAAACCTTTTCTGTTTGCAGAAGATAATTATGCAATTATAATTGCTGACTTACGCGGGAAAGTTGTGTTCTCTGCATTTTCGTCAATAGTCATGATAAAACTTAGCGAAGGACACCCCGATAAATCATAATAGCTGTTTTGTCCTCTTCGTCCTTAGTAATCTTTTTTGCTGTGTTTGTTAGCAATAGGAATTGGATACGAGGGACACGTTTGAAGCTTCAAATTCGACGTTGGTGTTATTTTTCTTTAGCAGAAATGTGTTAACTAGCGAGACATATGTCCTTGTTTGGTGAAAAACGTCGACGATTTTCGCAGCTCGAACAATTGGGTTGGGTCGGGGGCAACCCATCGAGGGCGCTAGATTTAACCGGCGATGTCTTGCAAAGTGTGGGCTTTCTCACTCCACAAAATGCGCTCAAAACCTTGCCAAAGATGGCCGAAGCTGTGCCATGGAGGTGTTGGAATGACAGGTTTTTTTCTTGGTTTTGACACCTTCAAGTTTCTGGCGATGTATGCTTTGTCATTGGGTTGAGGTGTTTAGCTTAAGATCACACCCTACATATGACGTACATTCGAATTGTTCAAAACCACAGACTATATTTAAAGAAACATCGACAATAATCTCGTCATCGGAATCCAAATGAATGTACACACACTTTGTCATTAGAATTTTATTTAAAATCACCTGGCAAAGTTAAAGTGGATTCATTTCAAATAGATTAAGTACATGTAAAAATACTGTATATATAATTCGAAGCAAATTTGTATAATTAGGGGGATAAATTTACTTCAACTTTTGAAAATCACTGTTTACTTCCTATGTGTATTGTAAACCTTTCCATGCATTTCCTATACACTCTGAAAAATCTGGCCTAATTTTGAGAAAAACTTTTTTTACGAAAAAACAGAAACGAGAACAGTTCATGTGTTTTGCCCTGCCTGTGAATGTGCAACATTTCTAATGACATGTCGTTAACCCTACATTTTATAGCGCCCCCGTTTTAGACATACCTCAACTAGGTTTCAGACGATTCTGCTTTTACAATTTACTTCCCAATTCTAGAGTGATCCGGTGATGTCATGCCTGTGTCACAGAGGTGACATTTTAGATCTAGATTGAGCAAGTGAACGAAACGTGCTATGTTTAGGACTTGTAGATCCATTACAGATTGTGAGAAAAGTGCTAACTATCTCTGGCAAATTGTCGATTGTAAGGTTTCCAAATCATCTTTTTACCTCTCATGTCGATTGTACAAATGACTACAAATTGATACATTAATTTCAAATGTGATTCACATACTATCTTTCACGTGGTGCCTATTCGTGAATGTTCAAACAAGTGAACAGCTGCAGTCTAAACACAAACATTTTTCGTTATAATATCATAAGACGTAATCACAAATCCAATAATTATGTCCATTACAAAACAGGTCCTTGTTCTTGTTTTGTTATGTAATGTCATATTTTGTTATATTTCTGTTATTTTTTATCGTTTTACATTGCATTGCTCTCTTGAAAAACAGTTTGTATGATTGTGTATGAAAACAATAAACAAATGAATTTTACTTGAATAAATCGAATGATTCATGGAGGGAAATATGTGCATCCCAGTTAAATATTTTCCTCTCCCTTTTTCTTCTCTTTTTTAAGCAGACCATACTGAATTCGATGCACAAGTACCAACCTCGTTTCCACATCGTCAAGGCCAACGACATTCTCAAGCTTCCCTGGAGCCAGTTCAGGACCTTCGTCTTCGTCGAGACGGTCTTCATCGGTGTCACCGCCTACCAGAACGAAAAGGTGAGACAAATAACGCCATTTTTTTATAAGTAGGGGGTACAATGTCATAACGAAACAAGAAAACTTGATAACTAAATGAACCAGAAACATAAGCTGAGAACAGTAGCTGCTTTTGCCTCCGTCAACACGTGTGATTATATATTGGTCGGTGATTTTCAGTAGCTTAATCGAGCTGTATAGATATTTTTAAATATCCTTTTAAATAAAACTGTTACTGCGGCGGTGGACGAAATATATATATTGCTGAAAACCAACTGATAAATCAGTACTTTTAAATGTAATCTTCACAATCATGAATTGTTTCAATGTGGCAAGAGGATAAAGAACTATTATCCAATAGTTGCAATGATTTGAAATTAGTATCCATCATACATTGCACAATCAGGAGTGTGCTTTAAATAATACATTGTTTATACATGTTCTTTGAATTTTTCAAAGCAAAATTGCACTTTGATTGTGAATGACAGCATCTGCTCGAGTTCACCCCGTAAAGTTTTAAGTGAACAAGAAAAGTACAATAACCCGTATAACTGGAAAAATAACCTTCCGTCCTAGACTATATGTATTATAATTCAGTTTAAATATCTACTTGTTATATAATACGTGTTCAAAGTGTTACATGGAGATGAAAATTAGTACCATCATTTTGTCGCTATTATGTAATGGGCGACTATAAGTTTGGTGTGAAGATGAGATGAAGTACCTTCACTTTGTCGTCACCTGTTATTCAAGTGGTGCAAAATTATAGTTCAGGGGGCTAGCAAAAGGTTGTTGAACTTAATATATTATTTCGTTTTCATAAAAAGAGGGCTATTATAAACGGTGTATTAATTTTACACACATTAACTTAAATGTCGTAAGTACTACCATGATAATTCCAAGAAGTTCTAGAACGTTGACCACACCGTCACCGTCATATCTTTAATCAAAGTCTAAATTGGAGACAAAATCCTATGGTTAGGTTTTGTATATAATTAAAAGTTTAGTGGTATGTAGTGAATTATATCGTTGTTTTTTCTTTTGAATAATTGATTGAGAGGTTTCATTTACCCCGAAAATATCGAGGTATCAAATGAGAATGGCGTGATGAGAAAGAAATCAAAGGGTAGCCATTATAATTTGAGATGTAAACAAGTCTTTCATACCGGTGATATGCTTGTCACTGGGGAGATTTGCATTTCGTATCGGTATACTGCGCAGTAGGCTAATGGTTTACCCTCATTACAAATTATTTTAGACAGCTCTTCTTTTATTTTATCAGACGGAGGGTATTCTAGAATTTGACATGACGTTTCTATTTAGGTGATTATGCATTCGTGTTATAATGACATGTCATCCTAGCAAATTCCAATCAATTTATCGTGCCTCCAAGATTTTTTTTGCTCAGTAATTGCGAATTAACTCCCCGCCCGCGATCCGAAAGTAAAAACGCATTTGCATGTATTGGTATTAAGTATAGTAATAATGGCAATGCCACTGTTGGAGTATATATCTTCACCCTCTCACTAAAAACGATTAAATGAAATTGAAAGTGGATTTCGCGCTTCGCGTCATGGGCGATACCAGTTTAATAATTTTTAATTTCCTAGTCGTCGCGGGTTGTGATTAGTTGGGTCTTGCAAACTGGCGCCTTCTACGAGGGGAATGACGCCAAAGAGCTTAGCTATCGACTCTCAAAACATCATCATGTCATCCCACTGTCCTATCCCCTTCTACCAAACAGATATTCCACGTCAATTTAGCCGTCTATCAATCCATTCATTGTCATTTTTGGTATCCTCTTTCTCGCCTAAAATGAGGTATACTGTTCGGGTTTTTTGTCTATCAAACTTGATGCACATTATAGTGTAACCATGAAGCGCAAATTAAAAAAGAAAACGTTTTACTGTAAATTCTTTTTCCAATATCTTACACCCTTATATTTTGCAATGTTATATTCGTCACATTACTAATTATTCACAATATCAATCAAGAAAATCATAATTAAAATGTAAAAATCCTGAAATGTCTATACTATATCGTGTGTAGACAGGGCCTTACGAGAAGACATGGAATTGAAAAGGGAAGAAAAGCGGAGACGGATCAGTGCTCGGCTCCGTCAGATTTATGATATGGGATTATGTATTTCGACGTGGTCCCCTTTTGACCGTATTTTTGGGGTAACCGCATCCAGTCTTGGGGATAACTTCTTGGAAGCTGTAATCGAAACAGAAACGTAGGACATGCGGTGCAATTTGCATGCCCAATCAACGACATTTCTCCTGTGACTCCATGCAAGCCATGGGGGATTCACTTCTAGAAAAACTAGGTAAAATGGCCCAGTACTTGGGTAGTTCTGAGTCCAACAGACTTTGCCCAATTTTAAATTGTAAGTCTACATCATTTTGTCTACTTACGATCACCTCTTTTGTTTAAAAATGAGATGATAACATTTTCATTTTTCATCCTCATTTCTCAATAAAGCATGATTTTTAAAGGGCACTATTTTGTCCCAAGGTGTTCCCGATATTTTTTTCAGTTTTCTCGTTCTGTATAACGTTGACATTTGTACACTTTACCGTTGCACACTTGTTGCTCAGTCTGTCGACTCATACAAATAGACAAACAAGCAAACAAACAGACAAACACCTGAGAATAAAACAACATACACTTGTAAATCGATGTGGTAGGGTCACTGCGTAACATTTGAATGTTTCATAAACATGTTTTAAAAACTGGAACACTGATCAGCTAAGCCTTATGAAGCAGGAGTTAGTCATTCCACCCACTTAGTTTCCCCATTGTATTCTCCCTGTCTGATGCGTCATTCTCTGTAATGTGTTGTTATTATGGATCCAAAACATTCATGAGAAAGGTCGCTTAAAAATAGGCACTTTCCCATCAAAACGATGTTTGTATATCTTTTTATAAGTAAATAGATTGGAATATGACCTCAAAATATTGTACATATCAGGTTTAGTAGAAATACAGGTATTGAGAACCACTTTGGCCCTTAGCATAAGATAAGGCCTCTGGAATAGTGTGAAAACTCCTTGCATCAGTTTATCATCATAATTATAATGATATACGTTAATAGTTGAACGATTTGTTGTTTCATAAATCTAGTTCGCTCCAATGTCTAATAACAGTACTTCCCAATAACAGAGAGTTAAATTTGGAGAAAAGAACCCTCTCTATTACTCATGCCTTCTTCAACGATGCAAATATAAAGGAAAATACGAAAACGAATATGAGAAGGAAGAGAAGTTAAATTGAGAAGGAAGAGAAGTTAAATTGTGTTGCTTTTGCTGACCGGTAGTCGCATAAGATAATTTGTATGCAAAGATGGGTGTCGGCTGGGCTCTAAAGGCGGCTATTTGTGTAATGATGCGCAGACGATCTCGTGCTGCTAAATTGTGACACCGTTTTCTCCCTCCCAAACACCCATTTGCGCGCCATGTTGATCACACTTGAAAGTGACGGTGCTCATTAAAACGTCGCGCGCTCGAGTTGAAATTAACGCATTACGTGTCTACGACGCCGCAGCCCAGCACTCTCTTCCCCCTTCCCCTCCCCTCCCATCCCTCTTGTCTCCTTGCTTGTGTCTACTTTGAGAGACATTTAGGGTCTGTTTCCACGACCAAAGCTTCTTTAAAATCTATTTTAAGTTGTAGATTTTGGTCATGCAAGGAACATGAATACGATATTGAAGTATAACGCAAGCACTCGTGGTAATTGAAAGTGGGTGAGTGCCAAACAATAAGGGGGTCCTTCAAGGAGTGGACTTGTAATTGCATAACAAATTTTTATCCATCTCCCAGTCTCGTTCTCTCTCTCTCTCTCTCTCTCTCTTTCTGTCTCCCTGTCTCTGTCACGCGCCTTTTCTCATCTCGTTCTCATACTTTGGGGTCTCTCTCTCTTTCCAGAGCCCAGCCAAAAATCGTCTGTGTGTGAAGACGACAGAGGAGTGAAAATTATCGAAAGTGTTGCATAGGGACCTTGTTCATTAGATGAAGCAATTTTCTCGTCGGCGCTATCCGTGCCGTCTTCATCACGCGATCGCGTCGCGAGCTCCGTTTCGGCTTGCCCAAGCCTTCGTGTCTGTCTGCCCCAACACCTCCTCCCCCTGACACCACTCTCGGGGGAGAACATTCCCGCCGACTGTGTCAGGTAGACATTACTTAGAATTCCGGACTCGATTGCATCTTCTCGCGCGCGCTGCCGCGGCCCGACTCCTTCAAATGAAAGTAGATTAGAAACTGCGCTGGTGGAGATGGCGATGATTGAACGACTGACTTGATAAATTGGGAAGCGAGGGCGGAGAAAACAAGAAAGACAATCTCATGACGGAAACTTCCTATTCCTGTCTCTTTTCTCCTCCCCACCCTCCCCCTCTCTCTAAATTGTATAAAAATCACGTTTTCTGTATCAAGTTGGGACATCTAACTCTCATTAGGGGAGAAAAAGAAACGTGAATCACTTAACTCCCCACCTTTTATCACGAAGTTATACGTCCATGGTTACATACACACGCACACATCAGTTTATCACTCACATTCGTGTGCATGCCTTGCTACACACAATTCACAAATTCACTGACATATACCAATTCTCGTACATTAGACATCCTTACCAATAATAATGGCTTGTGGGGGGAAATACTGGCACATTCTGCAGTGTGAAATTTGGCCAATATGCGGAGGTGTCAGGGAGGCTTGTCTTTTTTGGCGTAAAGCAAATTGAAAAAGCGATTGGATTTCAGCGAAAGATATCACTGGGGAGTCATTTAGTCATGCCCATTCCGAGGGTATTATTTCAATTACAAAGTGTAGTACTTCTAATACTAAAGGGAGAAAAGGTGATTCTCATATCACTTTCAGTTGAAATCGTTACCATATTCTAATAATAAACATAAATCTTAAAAAGAATTTACTGTGAAAAGTGTGATATGTACCCACTCACCCCCCCCCCCCAATAAACAAAAGAAAAAACAACAACCCTAAAACACGTTTACCCATAAAGAAATATATAGCACTAACAAAACAACAACAACAACAACAACACAATATCACTAAATACACGGCGTTTTTATGAACTTCTTTTTTTAAAATTATTTTTTCTTTCAAATGCTTATACTAATTTTATTTCTTATACTGATAAAGTTATGATATATGGTGCTTTTGAATTAATTTTATTTCTTATACTGATAAAGTTATGATATATGGTGCTTTTGAATAGTGATAAAAATTATATTAAAAATGTATTTCCTTTTCTCTGTTGCAGATCACCCAACTAAAGATCGACTACAATCCATTCGCTAAAGGTTTCAGAGATACAGGGGCAGGGAAGAGAGAGAAAAGGTAAGCAAACATACATGCTTTTATACTCAACTTAGAACTTAATCAGTTAAAAGTGCAGAATTTGAAAACTACAACAACAACAACTTTGATTGCCCGTACCCCTTTCAATGCCAGGGCCCGGGCTACTAGTACTAACCCTGATAATGGTCATACAGGAAATTGATCACAGCTAGTTGGCACGTCTTTAAAGAGCCGGCTGCATCCAGCTTGACCATAGAAACATGACATGAGTAAACTGACCACCTCATTGAGATGTGAGTGTGTCGTTCATAAAAATGAATCACTTGCACTTTTTACCTCCGAATGTTTTGAGATCTGACCTCGTCTGATGGAAATTTTGAAGAAAAAAAGACGAAGAAGGGACAAAATGTGAGACATTACAATGCAAAGAGATTCTCAATTTTTCTCCAGACATTCCAAAAATACTCAAACTCTGTCCAGTGTAGATTTAAATTTTGAATAGATAAATGAATAAACAAACTCATTTGTGTATCATAGTGCATTTAAAATTACACACACACACACGCACACACACACACACAAATGCACTAAAAAGATAAAGTTCAGTTACGTTGTGAAAATGCATTATTATGTAGTGGACAAATAATGAAATTCATTATTTGCGATGTACTTTGAATGAATTGCCCAAAAGTAATTGAGATCGTTTTCCTCTGACCGTCCGCTTAACATGATTCAGCACTAACATAACCCGACTCTCATGCACCGTCTTCTAATAAACATCACTTAATTTGATAATTTCCTGATCCCGCCTTAATTCATGCCACGGGATAACTCGTTATGTCCTTAAGCCGTTGAGATAATCCGTCTGCATTCAAACATATTAATTAATTTGATAACTGCTGTAATTGAAATAGTTGAACATTTACTTTTGAGTCTGAGTTTGTAAGAATCATTTTATGTGGATGTTTTAAAGCTTCTGTAAAAATGGAATTGAGGGTAGTGTGAGAGTGATACGATGACCGTTAGTGACATTAACAAGCCATCAGATGAAATAAAAATACAATTTAACATTACATCCCCAAATTCAAAATAGTGCACCGCAAGGGTACTCGGGGTTACAGACTGAAGTCTTGTGATGTGATTATGTAATCAAGCTTTTCTCGCGTGATAGTGTATACATCAGATATTAACACTTTGCACTTCAAAGATACCATATGGATCCACCTGTAAGACTTGAGCGAAATAAACACCTCTTAATTCATGTGACTGTTGTGTAGGGGCTGATGAGGGCGGGAGGGACGGGTGGAGGGGGGGGGGGGGGGAGTGGTTCAGTCATGTAACATTTGAATATATCATCTTTATAGACACGTATTCATTTTGATTAATCTTTGCCCAAGTCACTCCATTGCGGGAAGGAGTGGAAACAAAACCCAAAACTAAGAAGGGGCTAATTGATAACGTCATTGGTATTTTTTATTTCTCGAGTCCACCAATTTTACAACCACTATTATTACTAGTTTCATTTCGATTTAATAACGCAATACCTATTTATATAACTCGTGTTAGGTCATGAAGCCTTCTTTAGGTTCGTCGTACTTTTATCACATGACGACATAAGTGCATGAGGGACTAAAGTGACAGGTCAAATGGAAATTATAGCCATCATCTTTACTTAAGAGCGGTAGACGCCTCGTTTGCTCCTTTGCATTGAAATTATGCGGGCTCTCTCCGAGCGATTATAACAAAAATCATCGAAATACCCACCCCTCATAATAACGACTTTGGAGACAACCCATCCCTCTTATTTTTCGATGGTGCTTCCATGATATCTTACGTAACAACGTGTCTGCGGCACTTAAAACAGACACTTAACACATTAAGCTTGCTGGCACTTTTTAGTTTCAGCTGAATTATATAACTGTGGATTTTTGCTCGTGTCCAAACAAGTATCACTTCAACTCAATGAAACATTATCATTTTGTAATTTTTATAATTACCGTGAGACGTAACCGAGGCGGGTGTGTAAATTTCGTGATATGAATCTTTTTGTTCTTTAAGAATGCGATTTCTCTAATCGGTGTTATTTAACTCGCGAAATACGCCCCATTTTAACTTCCCGTAGATAGTTCTACTGTCTGAGATTTAAAAGTCGATTAAAGAAAATGATAATATCTGAATTGGTAATGGTAATAACACGTCTGGCCGTCCACTTGTGTCGTATTTTTACCCCTCTTTCTTTTTGGTATTTGTTGGATTGAGGGTAATGACGCGGACCGACGCCAGTAGTCATAAATACTGTACCATCGTTCCATTTTCTCTTTGTCCCATGCACAATACCATACAAACATAGAGCACGTGTCATGTATAGTCTACCTCGGAGGCCCTAGTTCGTTGTTTATCTTTTAAATCAAACCCTGCTTCTATTGAAGTGTAACTACTGAAACGCTTAAATGGTACGTTATTCGATATACGAGATAATACGAAACGATAGCCCAGAATAGGGATAGCTTGCTACATTATATCCAATTATTAGTGACAGTACTGTCAACCTCAAGACAAAGTGAATGTCTCCCTCTACCCTTTTCATAATTAATAAAACAAATTTGTGAAAATAGACCCTTAAAGTCTGCCCCCCCCCCCCTAATCATTATATAATTCCAGGAAAGAACCACGTTATACCATACCTTGTACATTAATCCAGTCTCCGAACGATCTAGTTAACATATGAGCATAAACGAAAAGACTTTCGGAGGGAAAGGTGGTTTCAAGTCGGCTAAATGTTACACCATTAAACATCCTACCGCAATTATATTTTTTCGCAGTGCAGTTTATTACATTAAACAGTTTTAGCTCTGGCGCCAGGTTGAAGCCCCATCTTATGGTTATTGTTCATAAATGTTATTGCGTGTAAAGAACGTTCACCCTTTGTGTTGTATTTTTCGCCTCCTAAAATTAGGGGAATGGAACGTTTTTGCCATAACCGTAAATTATAATGAATTAACACGGCAAGAATTACAATACACGTTATCCATGACACTCACCAAGAGCAGAATCCACTCTCAGTAGAGTAAAATTCAATCCTCTATTTTGAAATGGAGTGATCTCTAGAATTATTCCTAAAAAGTTGATTTCCACTCTTCTGCTCTAAGAGAGGACCCCTACCCTATCACTTTCACCCTGTGTGTATACGATGAAGATGATGATCATGATGATCATGGTGATCATAATGATGATGATTGTAATGATTGTGACTCCGTTATTAACGTATCACCTTTCCTTTTCCCTTTAATTTGCATCACAGGAAATACATTGGCGCGACGGGCACATACGAAATCGACCACGGCGATGACATCCCAAGCGACCAGGAGGCCGAGACCGCCGAGGTCAGCACCACCAGTAACGATAGACACGAAGAACGAGAACGAGGTGAGTTCCACGTCATTGATGACGTCATTGGCACCATAAAGCTGATATTCGTTCGAATAATACGAACGGTTCATTATGAAAATATGTAAATGATATCAGCCAAATTTTACCTAATATTATGTATGATGCAATGCTTTGCTACTTCCAAATGGAGTGATTTTAATGTTAATATTTAAACAAATTAAAAACGTAAGCTGTCAGCAATGAAATTCAATATGTATTATATATTTTCGATATTATTCATTCACTTAAAGTCCTATTACATATTTCATTTTGGACCATTAATTTATATTGCATCGATCATGTCATGAAATTAACTTTCACTGACTGAATTCTGTAGTTTGATTTTAATTTAGAACGTAAAATTGGAATTACATAGTATAACTAGTCAATGGAACATTGGAGGAAAACGTGTTAGTTTGCAGGTTCAATAAACTCGATACGCGAAAATTACAAACGGGTAAAGAAAAAAAAAATCATGAAAAGCAGCGATTAATAGAAACAATCTCTCTCCACCGAAAATGCCAGCAGTGTATATACATTTATTTCTTGACTGTTGAAGAAATGTGGCGACTTTAGATCAATGTTTGTGATTCAAGGAGCCCCGTCTATTCGCAGGATAGGGAGATAGAATTGGTTAGGGGCAGCATGGAGAGAGGGAGAGAGGGAGAAAGAGAGAGAGAGAGAGAGGGGGGGGAGGGGGAATGAGACAGCAAGTGGATAAAGAAATGGGAAGAGAGAATGAGAGATAAATACAATATCAAAGTAATAAAAAAAAGGAAGAGAGACATGGAAACAGAGAGAGAAAGAGAGAGAGAGAGAGAGAGAGAGAGAGAGAGAGAGAGAGAGGGGGAGGAACATTATGAAAAGGGTAGCTTCAAAAGAAGTATGCAAGATAGCGTTTCAACATTAAAATAATGAGAATTGAACCAAAGACCTACCACAAATTGAACATAGTGAAAGAGAAAGATTATAAAGTCAAAAGTATTATAGGTAGAGATTGAGAGAGATACAACTATTCGAGAGAGAAATAATTGAGAAAGAAGAGAGAGAGAGAGAGAGAGAGAGAGAGAGAGAGGTGAATCATCTCCAAGCGAAGATGCTCTTATGGTAGCCAGGGTGGCGGCTCGATGTTACGCTCCTCCGACACGGAAGACGTAACAAAATGTCTACCGATTCATCATCACTTGTTCCTCTCCAGCTCTCATCCCCTCTCCTCCTCCTCTCCACCTCCGCTCTCCTCCTCTCCTCCGCTCTCCTCCTCCTACTCCTCCTATTCCTAATAAGCAGAGAAGTGTATGAATGGGATGGTAATGTCGCATGATGGGAGGTTTGGAAATGAAAGCAGTTTAGAGAAGCAAGATGATCGAGAGATACAAGGTCAGAGAGAGAGAGAGAGAGAGAGAGAGAGAGAGAGAGAGGGAGGGGTGGGAGAGAGAAAAGAGTCTTCGGGAATCTTGTCAGTTGAGTCTATGAGGAATGGAGTAAACGTTAGCTCATTCATCACCCAGATATGCCCGCGGAGATTTTCACAACTCCGACTTCAAATACTGACACTCTGCTGGTGCAGCCCAGACACTTTGTATACACCATAATATCCATACGGCCACACGCTTACAAACTCATGAATCCCCCTCCCCCAAGTACCTCCCTCTTCCTCTCTCCATCTCCTTCATCTACCCCCCTTCTATTATTTCTTCGAAGTCTTTCCGCTGGCATTTCGCGCCCTTGTCCGATGAATTGTGATATATATCTTGTCGATATTAATGAGTTATTTTGGTAGACACAGATAGTGTATATTTTATGAGCTTCTAAATGAGGGGTTGAGCGAAACTCGAAGCTGTCACGATTGCCGCCTCCTCGCGTCAAGCCCAGAGACGGGGTGGGCGACTGCAAGGCGCGCAATGCTGTGTGTTTTGCACCTAGCGTGAAATTTTCTCGCGAGCTAATCGTCTGCAAAGAATTCACAAGATATATGATTTATAACGGGTTTCTCTTTTCTTTTCTTTTCTTTTTCTTTCTGACAGGTCATTCGTCACACGAGCTAGCGAGGCTCGCCAGCGAGGGCCGCCTGAACGGACCTGGCCTGAACAAGTGTAAACCCTCGGACATGAAGGGGGGACCACATGGAAGTTCGAGCTCCAAAGATGACGTGGAGATGAGGGATGTGAGCTGCAAGGACCACGAGAGGAGGATGGATGGTAAACACAGATTAAGTCAGGATGACAGTTCAATCGACAAGAAAACTGATCACAATGAGCGATCAGACTCGCGGAAAAGTGACGGACCTAGCTCAAGACTTTCTCCTCCGAGCTCGAGACTTTCTCCACCTAGTTCACGACTTTCTCCTGCAAGTCTACACCTTGGTTCGGCTGGGTCCTCCTTCTCATCACTACACGGTTCTCATCCACCTGTCGTGACGCCCATCTACCCTACACCTCAGCAGTTGTTTCTCAATCCTCATGCGCTTCATGGTGCCGTACCAGGTCTAGGGGCGATGCAGCACATGCTACCCTTTAGCAGCTCCTCCCACTCCCCATCTGGACATCCGAGTTATTTAGACACCCATCCCTTCGCTTTTGGGGCGGCACACGCTGCAGGACTTCTTTCCTCGCAAGGGGGAGCGGCCAGCTTTGGCAGTCTCTACTCAGAGGCCGCTGCCCTCAGCTCCATGTATGCCAGCAACCCGTGTACTAGTGCAATATTGAATGGACATCCCAGATTAAGGTTTTCCCCTTACCACCTGCCGGTCACCAGCACCACCATGGTCACTACAGCTAACCCCCTAGCCACGCCCATCCCCTATGAAAGCGCGTTACATTCATCGCTCTCTGCGTTCGGTGGTTCATCTCTGCTCACGGCAGCCTCAGCGTCCACGTCGCCGACATCGTCTTCATCGTCACTTCCAGCCAGTAAAGACGTGCCAACATCGCCGGCAAGGTCGATCAGCGCAGCCACTAATGAACTCCAAAGCATACAAAAGATGGTGAGCGGACTCGATAAAACACAGAAATGACTGACAGAAGCCTGACAATGGACAGGAGAGATGTATCAAATACAAATATTATTGGTAATGCGGTTAGTCGGTTTTTCAGTCATCGTGGTTGTCTGTTTTCGCAAAATGTCGTCTGCGTTGAAAGCAGCTAGTATGACGTTGCCGCTTTGTGAGCAGTAGTGATTTATACATGACATCGATGTTCTAATCAACCTTTCTGCATTAAAAACTCAGGGTTATTTTTTTTCTTTTTTTTCTTCTTGGTGCAAGCGTATATAATGCAAAAGAGTTGCCCTACACGAAGGCGGTGACTGCGACAGCTGAAGTGTGTAAGAGAGTTACGAGATGTACGCCGTCAAACTGACAGGGCGACGCCAGCCGTGTGGTCACGTGACCCCAGAATTATGACGAGGACTTCGTACTGGAAAGCTCACAATCCTTACAGAAAAACTGTGTATTCAGAGCACCACATGTACCACGGCCAATGTGCTCAATATGAACTGGCCTCCGAGGCTCAACCTCTTGATAGCTATAAGGAGGAAGTCTGCGGAGGTGATCCCCCGATATATAAACCAATCTGGTTACACTCTATAAATAAATGCCCCGGTGCACACAATAAGTTTCCTCTTAAAAGTTTTCAGTCCCCATTTCAAATGTAATATATCTGGATTGAACAGAACATGTGTTAGGGCAATTTTGATGTAAGGATAGTCGTTACCACACACACGATCAACTACCAAGGGTTTTCTGAATTACATGCATCGCCGGGAGTTAAGACCTATATTCAAGGTAGTAAATTATCATCTCTCCGCTTTGGGGTTATTTTTCTCTCCCTCTTCTCTGAGAGAATGCACTGACCGGTCCTCGTTTGGACGGTAAGAATTCACGTTTTCCTAGCATTACGCCAGGACCTTATGAAGCTAAATCTGCTCTTCAATTTCCTTTCCTTTCTAATCAGTTGAAATCATTGTGAGATATTATTGAGTTATTCAATGAATTATGAGGTATTCATTACAAACAGGGTCTAGCAATCCAGTCATTTTCATGAAATAACAATGATACTAATGAGTCCACAATCGAATTACTAATTGGGCATATAACCATGATGCTGGTAACGAATTGGTCTATTCGTTATAATTGTGAAAGAATGGAAGATATATCAAATCATGATTGAAATTGGTTTTGTGTGTGGTATAATTTCAAAGTAGTCCTGTTTCCTTATGACGTCTCGTCAACCCCTAATAGACAGTGGGACTTTGGAGCGTCAGACACTTGAGAGGATTACACTTTGACGTTGCCAATTTAATACAATTACACAGATTAATTGGGCTTATAGTTATCTCAAATTTTACTATTTGAAATTCATGTCATCCTGTCAATAAGACTAGACAGTTTCTTGTTTTGAATTGATAGTTGACATTTAGAATAAATTCGCAAAATCTTTTCACGTAAACAATAAAGGTTAAATATGAATTCGACGATGTCATTCTGAGTATGCAAAACAGTGGATATAATACAAATTGTTATTTAAATTTTAAAAAAGGAGAAATATTCAAAACGTTATAGGAGATAAATTATAGTTGTATATTTGGATGAAGCAACATGTCTGCCTGACATTAGTTTCTTCTTCTTCAAAACTGTATTCTGTTCATCTGTTATTGTATTGATGTTTTGTGTGTGTTTAATCTGAAGCTTTTGAATTGAAACAAAATCATGTCAGATTGATGACGTAACAAAGACATGGGAATATCTTCCAAATGTTATGTTGGATTAAATTCTACTTGTTTCTTATGTTGTTGTCACTGTTTTTCTCTCTGGAAGGTATTCTTTTTTGTAAAAAAAGAGTAAATAATTGGAATTCTCTATCGCTGTTACTTTACAGTAAAAGCTTTCCTTTTGTTTATAAAAAGTTGATAGCAGTTTGTAAATTTTGGCCAATTTATCTTGTCTTTAGAAGAATATTACGTGTTCATCAGTGAGCTTTTCTCCCTAATATAGAACAAGTGTTTGTCGATTTGTACAAAATTTAGAGTCGAGTTTTTTGAAAACTTGAACTTATTTATGTTCTCCTTAATCTGTAATGCGCTAGTTGAACCCGCTGGAAAAAGACGCGCTACGATTTTGGATGTAGTAAAGAAGATATTTGTTTTTTTAAAGAATACATTATGTACTGTAAATTGATACTTATTTATATGAAATATTGAATATAGTGGCTTTTATTCTTCGTACATTGTTCATTTTAGCCACCTTCATGTGAGGGTAGGGCTAAATTTTTCCTTGACAACGAAAGATTCGCTAATGAAGGGATTTGTTCGAAAAACATTAAATACATAAACGCACATGCGTTATCAATGGAAATAATTCATCAATGCGTTAATAATATATAAAATATATTGTTTCAAAAGTTAAATGAATATTAATACAATTTTTGAAAGAAAACTGTTTAAAACTGATATGATTAAATTTTCTAAATGCTCCATAATAATACAATTATTTCAAGTATTTATAATCATTTTGGGGAATGAATGTGAATTTCGAACAAAATGTATTTCAGTGATGCGTCACTAGTAACTGAGTTTGTGTCTTGGTTGAATATTGAAAGAAGAACGTTGCAATGAAGAAATAAAGTCCAACTCTCGGGATAATCTCCCAGGAATTTGTTCAACTACAGCAAAAAATGAATATCGCTTTGTTTCACTCGATTATTTGTTACGTACTGGGTATGTGTAAGTTCATGGTTTGTTGCTAGGGAAACGAGTGTGCATGGTGGAGAAATATGGTCTGCTAATGAGAGACAGAAAGAGAGGAAGTGAGAGAGAGAGAGAGAGAGAGAGAGAGAGAGAGAAAGGAAAAGAGAGAGAGAGAGAGAGAGAGAGAAAGGGAGAGAGAGAGAAAGGAAGAGAGAGAGAAACAAAAGAATTATATAAGGATATATAAGAGAGATATCAAGAAAGCGTGGAAGAGAATGAGAAGAGGACAAATTGAAAGGAGGGTCAGACTCGGAGTATAGGAGACTGAGAGAAAGTGAGAGAGAGAGAGAGAGGTTAAAGAGAGAAAGAGAGAGAGAGAGTGGGGGTATGTTTCAGTGCATTTGCTGAGCATTTTATTGAGACAATGAAAGAGAAAGTGACAGAGAAGATGAGAAGAGGAGAGGTACATGTAGGTGCATTTTCAAACCTTGACTCTGGCGTCTTTAAATGGAGGGAGGTTTAACAAAGAAAGGGTATGATTGAAGAATGAGGGAAAAGACAGATATAGAGATAGATAGATAGATAGAGAGGGAGAACGAGAGAGAGAGAGAGAGAGAGAGAGAGAGAGAGAGAGAGAGAGAGAGAGAGAGAAAGGGACTTGTTGACGATTTTTGTTTGCATTTATTGAGATAATGAGAGAGCATGAAAGAGAAAGTGACAGAAAAAACGAGAAGAGGAGAGGTAGGTGCATTTTCAAACCTTGACTCTGGCGTCTTTAAATGGAGGGAGGTTTAACAAAGAAAGGGTATGATTGAAAAAATGAGGGAAAAGACAGAGAAAGAGATAGAAAGATAGATATATAGAGAGGTGAAAGAGAGATAGATAGATAGAGAGAGAGAGACAGAGAGAAGGGGACTTGTTTACGATTTTTGTTTGCAGTTATGATTTACTTATGGCAGGTCGAAGGTCGAACGAGTGGCAACATTAAAAGCATCTTCAAAAAGGTGTAAATCTTTTGTCCAAAGCGTGTGTGTGTGAAAATGATGGAAGGGAGAAAATGATTTGAAAGAACCATTTAACTTTATAAAAGTGAAATATCAAAGTGGTCTCATCTTGCATACATCTGTCTCTGAACTGCTTGGCAAAGTATGTTAGAAATGTTTCAGGCAAACATTAGTATGTATGTTACTCTCTATAAGCTCGCGGATACTGCACGAGTATATGCTTAATTTTGGGAAAAATAATTAGTCTTGATATTATCAATTTAGAAGGACAAAGGTCACACATTTTGGATAGAATTTTTCACCTTTTGGCCTGAAATTGTCAATTATCTTAAAAAAATGTGGTTTATGGTTTTGTTGCGGTGATAATTATTGACGATGATACTATGCTATTAAATGTGAATATACTATAAACTGTTAACCGTCTCGACAATAAGATCCGTTCAAAAAAAAAGTGAATACTGCTCCTCAGATCTTTGCAGTATACCTGACTGATTTCACATGCAAGTATTGTATGTAACAAAATTATGAAAACGGTCTCGTGCTTGCAGAAGTCGTTAGAGAGAATATGGTATGGTATTGATATAATTACATTGCTATTCTTAAAAACAATTCTGATTTATGTCAGCTGACCCACTATTGTGATTTACTCTGAATTAATTATTCAGATATTTATTAAAATAACATGAGATATTACCAAAACAAGAAATGTGTCATTTACCCCTACATTTACTAGTCCAGTATTTTTTCTTCATTATTTACCACATTTTCTCTTAATTCATATTTTTACATTTTATGTAAATAAATATAAATGCCAAGGGCGATACAAGCCTTATTGATATTGGATTCTGTATAATATACTCTGTAAAATATTACATCAAACTATATTTTCAAAACATCGTGAAAACCGCTGTTCTTCTTTTTATGTTCTCATTTCGTTTTGCTCTTGTCATAATATATGACATGTACAAATCAGGAAATCACGAATGATCAAAATACTCATGCTAAAGTCAATTACCTTTCGAATTCGTGATTAATAAACATGAGAACATCATCAAACACATATTTATGTAGTAAGGCCTCAGCACGGACGTACATGTAGCATGTGTCCATCAATTAATAAAAAGAGGGGGCACCAGCCATTAACTTCAGGTAATACAAGTAGAAGTTGGAGGCAATATACGAATTGACGAAGCCACGATGAGCAAGGAGTAGGTGCCCTATTTTTCCTTTCCTACCCCACTTTCTCTCTATCATTTGTATTCAAAATCCAATTGGGGGCACATGCCCCCGTGCCCCTCTTACGCTACGCCACTGTAGATCAGACATGAATGTACACTTATTTGGCTATCGCGTTACAGATCCATCCAAACATTCAAGTTCGGATTCATCGAAGTTGACAGAATGAAATAATTAGTTTTAAACGACGACGTTTACTAGAGCTTTTGGTGGAGTTGAGAGATATTACGATATCCGATTTCTTTACCATGTGCTGTTTGGAATGGTAAAGATCAGCTTATGTCAGTATTGGGTTTCCGCCTCTCTCATTCACTTCGGAAATCTCATTGCACGCTAATTTGAAGAATATGCCGGCCAAAGGTCCCCCATAAACTCATCTCTTTAGGTTTCCATCCAAAGAAAAGTTTTTTTTCACCGATGACGTAAAAACCAAAAGGAGTCTTCCAACGAATTTCAACTTCGCAATTGTTATTCTATTACTAACATGCACATGAATGTTTGACATTCGATTCAGTTCATTTAATTTGCTCGCGGAACTTAGAATCACTTAGGGAAATTAAATGCTCCACTTTGATTATTTTTTTCCTCTAAATGTGCAGATAATGATGATCGTAAGTGGACTAACATAATATAAAACAAAATAAAATAGACCCCCGAGTTGGGGTGAAGTTAATGATTACAACATTACAAAATAGCAATAATAATAATTAGTATTTTTAAGAAAAGGACGATTTATCTTGTGTACACAGGGTAGCCTCATCAGTATCAATACTGTTCTCCCTCAAGACCCTACAACCATATTATTACCTCGGCTCCAGTTGCCCAAAGTGACAGGGACGTAGCCAGAGTGTGATGTAAAAAAAGGGGTCTAAAAAAGTTCAACCGATCTTGGATTTTTTTGGGGGGGCACGTGCCCCCCCCCCCCCCCCCCCCCGTGGCTACGTGCCTGCAAAGTGGGTCGGGTACATTGTTCTTGCGTTAATCTAGTAGGTCTCTTCCCAATCATTTTAAAGGTATACGCGAAGTGCATGTCATTCTCTGTTATTGATTCCATCAAGAAATATGTAAGAATTTCCTGGCATTAATGTAATTGTGCAAGAAAGGAAGTCCAACACGCTCTGAGCAGGTGGTCTAGAACATGTTGGTGGCTTGTTTAACATTCTTAAAGAGAAGGTTGAGTTCTGGGGAGAGGTGAAAAATAATTGTAAGCGTTATCATTGTATTATGCAAGTGTGAACGAACATCAGAGAAAAAATGTTCCCAGAAAAGCATAGCTCTTAAAATGCCTTCATATTCTAAATATGACATTTAACAGCTCAAAAATATGGGCCTCATTTTTATGCCACATGTTTGTGTAGTCCCACATTTTTCTGGGTACAGTGCCTGTTACCTTTACCAAGACTGGTCCAAATTTCTTAGCATTGTGATGATTCCAGAACCTTGCAGTAGACACCAATACACATATGCTACATGATCAACCTTTTCTGATAGATTCCACACCGTTTCTTTCACAATGCAATCGCCTGACCAGAACTCAACTTTATCTTTAAAGAACAACTCAAGTGCTTGTTTACAGATACAACTGAGGACTGGTCATGTGGTTGCAGTGTGAACAAAACTGTCTAGGAGTTATATGTTTAAAGATTGACCATGCAGTACATCATTGCAGAATATTTGAGTATTACAAACTGATAACAGAGAAATATAAACAAATATTTACTGAATTTCGCTGACAATATATTGAGTGAAATGCTCTGATATATTTAGAATCTAAGGGCACTGTCAGAGCAATCATTTTCATGTGACATTTCTAGTACAACTTCCTTCCGCACGGGTAGCAAAAACAATGAGAATGCTGATAGGTTGTTTTTGCCCTTACAAAAACTCATCATTCTCTATAAAGAATGGATATGTTTTTTATTTTTATTTTCCTTTTTTGCTTTTTTACCCCAGGGGTTAATAAGCCATTTCCAATTAAATTCCCTGAATGACAGAAACACAGAACATGAAGATAAAGATAAAACAAAATAACCGATGTATGATCATAATATTCATTGATGTTCAAAGGAAACAAACAAACAAACACAAAGCTCTCCATTGTTCTAACTTGGAAGATATGGTAATCTTGCTCTCTTTGTGTTGACTGCCGATAGCAAAATACAAAGTCGTGTTCTAGTAGCCTGAAGTATGTTCAATAATATCGTCTGCAGTTACACGCCTAAATGAGTGTATACAGTAACTCGAAACCGTTATTAAAATAATCATCGATATCCTGTTTCCTTTTTTAGTTTTTAAAGCATCTTTATAACTTTTTATTTATGTAAACAATTTTACATTTCACATTTAGTAATTGTTTCTTTTGATAAAAACTAAATATAAATGTATATTTTTATCGAACCAATGATAATGCCATAATGAATAACACAAACGGCAATATATATATTTTTCCCTACATCACATTTTCTTTTGATTACAATGTAAGAATGGATATGCTCTAAGAATAACTGATGGTGGTGTATCGTATTAGATTGAAATAACCTAAGAAACCCGAGCAAGTTATATATTAAAATTGTAGCTATAGAATTTTTAATTAAAATAACTAAATTCATTAAATGCATTAAAATAAGTATCAATTAAGAATTTCTTGCCACTTCTCACGAAAGAAAAATAGCATTTTCTCGTTGAACAGGATTTGCAACAATTTTCGCTTACTTGAGACATCTTTCTGTTTTGTCTTCATTATGACGCAATC